TCTAAGTGGTTTGGGTGATGGGTCCTTTTAAATTTCCGGTTCTCTCCGCAAGAACCCTGGGAGGACATGGTTCTGACTCCCTAGAGCCTAGTGCTCCCGGCATATATAACAGAATGGGTGGAGTGAGGTTCTCAGCCCCAGGATGACTACAGCACAAGATGCGTGCACACAAAAGGTGAGCCTGTTGTAGTTTCTTTTGCACCGAGAATGGCTGCTTGACTGACTTACTGATCAACTAGTAGAGAGGGCCTTAGAGCTGCCCAGGCGCGGAGACCGCGGCCCCACACATTTAGGGATTGGCCTCGGAAATCACGGAACTTCAAGTCCTCAATACCCAACGGCGCATCCCAACCCCAAGGCCCGACCTGCAGGTTCCGGGTGATAAGGTGTAGCTTCTCCTCAGGGCTTGGAGCATCCCCCATGGCTCCGCTTTCTCTGTTTCCCGCGCTCAGCCGGCACCCGCGCCCTTTCCTCGTTCGCCGCCGTCTCCCCGTGCCAGGAACTGTCACGCTCGTCCCGTCAGGTTGCATCAGCTGAGCTCGTAGCTCCGCTTGCTAGGCCTAGATCCTCTCCCACTCCCTCGGAGTAGTCCCGAGTCAGAAGTAGCAGAGAGTCGAAAGACTCGATGAAACAGGAAGGGGCGGGGCCATCAACCACTGTAGGGGCGGGGTTAGAAAGGCTGTCCAGGGCGCAACCCTCTCAGGGGCGGGGCGGTTTCCTGCCAATCACTGTTTGCTTGCCCTCCCCGTGGTGTTGGCCCCGCTGCCTCGGGGTGGGGGAGGTCGTGAAGGGGGCGATAAAATGGCGCAGGGGGCGGAGTGAGGTGCTGCCGCTCGCCTAGGCTTTGGCCCGGCTTCCGGAGGTGAAGAGCGGGAGGGACGAAGGGTCGGCGTCCGTCGTCTAGGCAAGGGGTCGGGGGCGCCTGTTGCTTCTCCACAGGGCCGCATACATCGTCTGCCCCCGTGAGGAGTAGGGAAGCTCGTCTCGCTGAGGGAAGGGCTGATTCTCGCTCCTGAGGTGATGGCGGGCGGGGAGGTTGTCCCTGCCCCCCACCTCCACAGCCGTGGGCGAGTGACGCCCCTCATCCTGCTGAGGAAAAGGGAGCTGTCAGGTCCTTGGGCCGCGTGCGAGGTCCGCCGGCCCTGCCAGTGGGGGAAGGGGGTCTTTCTCTCCCTGTGCCCTCCTCACGGAAGGGTGTTGTTGCTACGGAGAGCGGGGATGGCGGGCTTCCCGCGGTGCGTCGTGGCGGGAGAGGGCGACCCACTCTCGGCGACAGCGGGCCGCAGCCTGCCGAGGTGTGGCTGTCGGCGGCTGTCCCCTGAGGCTGGGTGTACTGGCGGAGCCGGCGGGGACCTGTGTCGCCCCTGGGGGGAGGGACACGGAGGAAACACGCGCGTCTCCCGCTATCCGCGGGGAGGCGAGACCTCGCTCTCCCGAGTGGGAGGAGGGAAGTGCAAAGGCCCTGGGCGCGGCGGGCAGTGTTCCTGAGGGGGAGGCCCGCGGCATCCTTGAAAGGCATCCCAGGGCCGCGGGGAAAGCTACAGACACTTCAGGTGGAGCCCTGACTAGGGCCACCAAATGAGGACGGAGTTCACCGGCCGCCCTCATGTTTTGTTTTTTGTTTTTTCCCCCCCGAGGTTGTTAGAAGCCCCAGGCTTTAATAGACTATTCTTCTAAAAGAAACCTGTTGCTTCAGTTTAGAAAAATCTGCTGCCTGGGCCTGCGTGGGGATTCTTGGCTCCCTAGTCTGGGGAAATTGTTACCTAAAGCAGAGATTTCCAGATGGGTTGTCTTTGCATTTTACAATGTTTGCAGTTAGCACAGAGGGAGTTGCAAAATTCTTTCTGATAATGTCAGTTCCCTTTGTTTAAAAAAATTTTTGGGGGGGAGGAGCTCATTTTAGTGATACAGCCTCTTTTGGTGTATACTGTTTGCTTCACGTGTGTTATGTTTAGGAGAGGTTAGAGATCAAAGACAAATGAGAAGTCCCCTCCTTCTGCAAACCGATCCTTGCTTTTGGCTCTGCATATCAGACCCAGTTGGGTAGTGGTTTTGGTTTTAGAGCCTTGAACGAGGATGTGTAGTATACATTTAGCATTGGCATTTTACTGACCTGAATAGAATGAGGCTTTGTGCTCTAAGGCAATAGGTTTTTTGAGGTAAGATAAAAATAGACGGGGGAACTAGTTTCTGAAGTTGCAACCAGGAGGTTAGAGAACAGAGAGGGGGTGGTACACTAAAGTGTGAAGAAGGGGGTGGACAGGTGAGGGAAGTGGAAGGACAGAATAGGGTCACACAGAGATGTGGAGCAGAATTAAGAGAATTTGGAAATAGGAAAATATTCTTAACTGAAAAATAGAGAAGCTTTCATACTTGAAAGATTTACCAGGCAAGTGCCAAGAATGGCAGGTGATGGTAGTATGGGAGAGAAGTAATTGTGACACTTCACTTAAGAGCTTCAGTATATTATTATTATTATCATTATTATTATTATGATGATGATGATGAATTTTTTTTTGAGACAGAGTCTCTCACTATGTATCATTAGCCTGGAACTCAGAGATCCACCTGCCTCTGTCTCCTGAGTGCTGGGATTAAAGATGAATGCCTCCATATCTTGCAAGAATTTCAGTTTTATCGAAGGCTTCCCTCCCTTGAAAATTCAAGTTGACTTTATCTCAAACACTATCCCTTCTCTCCCGCCTTTGTCAAGTGTAGTCCCTACTGGTTTGGAATTTGAGATAGAGCCTCAGGTAGCCTTGAACTCCTCATCCTCTTGCCTCCCCCATCAGCATTCTGGAAATACTGATAAGTGAGCACCATTATGTCTACCTTTTTCAGATGAGTATTCTCATTTATACTGAAGTTCAGAGACTTCAAATGAATTGCTGAAGTATTTGAATTTTAGCCCAGTGCTTCTAATACAAGCTACTTCATGGGCCATTAATTTGAAGAATTTACCTGATATTTTAGTTATCCATCCAGTCTGGTCCTAAATTAGTTTAATGACAATATGGTTAAATGCTTCACTAAGTAGATCATACTGAATAATTTCTAAATTGAGTTTGGGGAAGTTTCTTGCCAGTTTAGCCTTTTTCCTACCATTCCTGTGCTTAAGGCTCTTTGGGTGAGATAGATGTAGGTGGTGGGATGAAGTAACCATAGCTAGTGTACTAAGTGCCTTATGTTCATGTCTTACTTAATATTTGTAATAACCTCATGAGACTACTGGACTATGAGGTTTGGGTTTCCTATTTTATAGGTAGAGAATATTTGAGACTTAGGGTGTATCTTGTATCTTTCACACTGGCTTTATATCTTAATTTTTGTTGTTGTTGTGGTTTGCTTTTTGAGACATGGTCTCACTCTGTTGCCCAGGTTAGCCTGACACTGACAGTGTAAGCCAGGCTGGCATTGAACTCAAGAGATCCACCTGTCTGCCAGTTGGGTGATAAGATTAAATGTGTATGTCATCACATCCACCTAGGCCAGTCTGGTCTACATAGTGAATACCAAGCCAATCAGGGATACATAGCCTGTCTCAAAAAGCCCAAAACCAAAACTTTGTCTTCTAAGAGTATTGTTTTATTAGATATTTCAAACAGAAAATTAGGCAAGGTAGCATAGTAATAATTATCATTATACTTATTGTCCAGGTTTATCTTCCATCTCTACAGATTTAAAAAAAAAAAGCCAAGTATGGTGTCTGTAGTTCTAGGATTTGTGAGGCAAACAGGGAAGGAGAACCAGGAGTTCAGGATTTCCTTGGCTATATAGCAAATTTCAGGGTACACTGGGATACATGAAATCTTGACTCAAAGAAACAAAACATTACAGATAGACTAAAGCTATTCGTGTCTCCTTGCCAGTACCAGAAATTATTGCTATCCTGAATTTGGTGTTTCTTATTTTTAAAATATTTTTAAAATTTTGTGATATCTGTATATATATATTCATAGAAATTTTTTTAAAGATTTGTTTATTTTATGTATGAGTACACTGTCACTGTCTTCAGATACACCAGAAGAGGGCATTGGATCCCATTACAAATGGTTGAGCCACCATGTGGTTGCTGGGAATTGAACTCGGGACCTCTGGAAGAGTAGTCAGTGCTCTTAAGCACTGAGCCATCTCTCCAACCCTATAGAAATGTTCTTTAATAGATAATTACAGTAAGGAAAAGGTAGGAAATCTTTAGAAGACATATCAGCCTATTGCATTTTATGGCCCTTATTTCAATGATGATTTGTTTTTCCTTAAGTCTGAAAAATATGAATAAGATAATTGGAAAATTGAGCAGGAGTTTACATTTTTTATTATTTTTTTATGTGTATAGATGTTTTGGCTGCATGTATGTCTGTTACACCATGTTACAATAGTTGTGAACCACCATTTGGGTGCTCGGAAAGGTGCCTGATCTACAGAGTGAGTTCCAGGTCAGCCAGGGCTATACAGTGAAACCCTGTCTCGGAAATAAAATAAAATAAAATTAATAAATAAAACCTGCACATTTCTAAAAGTAAGCACTGTTACTGCTATCAAAAGAATGATACAGGGTATGTTTTGAGACTGTATAGCTTTGTCTAGCTCACTCTGCAGATGGGCTGACCTTGAACTCAGAGGTTGCCTGCCTCTTCTTGAGTGCTAGGGTTAAAGGCATGTACCATATGCCTGGCCCATCACACTTCAGAGTTAACTAGATCCCCTCTAAGTATAAAATGCTATATTTCCCCCTCCTTTCTTTTTAGTGCTTTATTGTCTGTACCATTTTATGTTCTCTCATATTAGAACTTAGTATTTGGTGTTGCCAGGCATGATGGAGCATGCCTTTAATCCCAGCACTTAGGAGGCAGAGGCATGTGAAACTCAGCCTGGGCTATAGAGCAAGTTCCAGGACAGCCAAGGCTATACAGAGAAATCTTATCTTGAAAACCCCAAAAAAACCTACCACCACCAAAAAAAAAAAAAAACAAAAACAAAAAAAACCAAAAAACTAAATAATTAGAAGTTCTGGGAGATTGGGTATCATATTTTATTTCTTAAAAATCATAGAGACAAAGTATGAAGCTTAGTTGTTGTAGCTCGAAAATTATTGCTGAAGGAATGTCTGAATTAAAGCTGAAAGTTACTGAAAGTTAAGGTGTGGTATGGGAGGTAGTAAAGTGAAGGGAATTTTAGTTTGAAGAGCTATTAACAGCAAAAGCAGGTGGATCTCTTGAGTTCTAGGCTAGGTGTACAAATTGAGTGTGGGACAGTCAGGGCTACACAAAGAAACCCTGTCTCAAAAAGCTAGAAAGGGCTGGAAGCTGGAAGCTCACGCTATTAATCCTAGCACAGATAGGCAGGTAGATCTCTATGAGTTCCAGGCAAGCCTGATCTACATCAAGTTCCAGGACTGCTAGGGCTACACAGAAAAACCTTGTCTCAAAGAAAAAACAAAACAAAACAAAAAACAGCTATAAAGGAAGCCAAGTGAAGAAGTACATTCCTGTAATCCTAGCACTTGGAAGGTAGAGGAAGATCAGAAGTTCCATTCCACTACATAGTGATTTGGATGCCAGCCTGAACTATATGAGACTCTACCTCAAAAAATTGCCTAGCATGAGCCAAGCCCTCCTGGATCCCCAGTACCAAATAAAGTAGGTATAGTGGTGTATGCCAATGTTCCCAGCCCACTATATGTATGTTAAGCAAACACTACTCAACCACATCCCTAACCACCACACTCGGTTTTAATTATACAAGTAAACATTCATGTAGAAAAAGAGTTGAGTGATGTTGACACTTGACTCTATAACTGATAATAAGCAACAATTTTTGTATTTATATCTTTGCTAACTTTTTCTTTGTATTTTATATATATTGAAAATGAGGACAAGGCTTGATTGGTTTTTGGAGTGGTTATGATTTTTAGAATTTGGTAAGATCTTTGACAAGGCCTCATCCTCCTTTTCCAGCCCTTTTTTATTTTACTAGAAACAAGTCCAAATGGTTAAGTGACTAAATGATTAGGACTTGTCAGTGACAGAGCCAGATCTTAGGTCACAGGACTCCTAGTCCTTATTTACCCAACTAAAGCAGACAGTAGTCATAAGAAAGTGCTAGTTGTTGGGAGGAACTAAACCAGTTATAAGTTGCATAATTTTTTCCTCTAAAGATTTTTCTTTGATGTTCTTCACTGAAAATAATCCAACTTGCTGGTATTTTTTAAAAAAATCAAGATCAAAATTAATAGATGGAACACCTTGAAGCATAATACAGTTGACTTTGTAATTATCGGGGTTGAAAGTGATGAGAAGATCCTTTAATTTTCTTTGTGCCTGCAGGAAGGTGGGAGTCAATCACTTTGACAAGTCTCCTAAAAGGAACAGCCAGCAGGAGTTGAAACCTTTTTCCATTTGGTCTCGTGGCAAAGGCAGATTGCTCCAGCAGCTCCACACAGTATGCAAGACATCTTTTTTAATTTTTGTTTTTTGAAACAGGGTCTCACTGTATAGCTCTGACTTACCTATAACATTCACTTACTTTTCTCCTGAATGCTGGGATTAAAGGCATGTACCACCTATACCCAGAAACATTTATCTATCTACTTCCCTCTCCTGATTTTTTTAAATTTCATTTTCAGTTAAAACTATATATTATGTGTGTGTATATATGTATGAGTATCTGTATGTTTCAGTTGGGTCACAAGCCTGGAATCCCAGCTTCTGTGGAGGCTGAGGCAGGAGGATTGCAAATTCAAGGCCTGGTTGTGCTACAGAGCAAGTTAGATCTAGTCTTGGTATCTTAGTAAAACTCTATCTAAAATTAAAAAGTAAGAAATAGCCTGGGGATGTAAGGGCTTGCTAGCATGCATGAGGATCCAGGTTTAGTCACCAGAACTGGAGAGTAATGCATGTTTCTTTTTTAAAAGTGTAAACTTCATATCTAAAACATTTCACAAAACATATTTTGCTTGAATATTATAGTCATTCTATGGTAGTACATATAAATCTACTTTAATGTGCTTTTAAGTAGTTGAAAAATGTTTTTGATGTGAATGTCTCATGATTTTATTGAACATTTCTCTTAGAGATGGGCATTTAGGTTCCCTCTAGTATTTGACTGTTTTGAATAATACTGATTTGAACATCTCTGTGTGTTCATGTGCATTTGTAGTAGATAGGTCTGTATGACAAATTTCCATTTGTAGTAGGTATTTCAGTCTGATAAACTTCCAGAAGTGAGATTAGTAGATCAGATAGTGTTGCCAAGTTACTCTTCACAAAATCGTATATTAACTTACACTTTACTAGTAGTAAGTGCTTGTCTCTACAGCCTCACCAACTCAGATTAAAAGTATCTTATTCAAACATTTATTTTCATAATGCTAGTAAGATTAAATGTCTTAATTACTTCTCAAGTTACAAATCACGGTGCAAGCACAGCATTTGAGATCCTAGGATGCTCCCTGTATACATATAGTAGATTGGAGTTGGTTTAAGGTATTTCTTGTTCTTCAGCAAAACTTCCTCATATTTTTCCAGATATGACGTGCTCACTCTTACCCTCTGAACAGTCTTCTGGTACTTCTTTTCTGCCTAAAGACAATGCCTCATTTTCTTGGGGTTCCTCGGATGAAGATGAGTTGAATGACTCCTTGTTGGAGTTTTCTGATGGAGAAGAAGATGATGGCCATTTCAGTTTCACAGAGGAAGAGATTGAGATGCTTTTGAAGGACGATGATGGTGGGCATAATGAGTATAGATCGAGAAAGAGTCAAATTCTACCCGATACTCCTCAAGAAAATTCTTTGTACAGCTTGGGATCTTCAGCTGAAACCCCTGGCTTCCTCAAACTACCTCAACTAAGTACATCAGTTGGTCATGGACCAACTCCTAGTAAATCATTAAACAGACACTTTGTACTTGAAAAGAATCTTATAAAAGTAACTGTTGTTGCACCATTTAATCCAACAGTTTGTGATCCTGTGCTTGATAAAGACAAGATTGATTCCTCCAAAGAAACAGAAAAACCTGCCTTCCTTCGGGAACAGACGAGAGAAGATGATCTTCATCTTAATGAGAATAAACATTGCACTGAACCTGAAGGGGTCAGTCCCAGTAACTCTGCTTGGGATGGGCCCCTGCTTTCTTCTCCTTCAAACAATAATATCGAACAAAATGCCTCCGATAAAAATATACCTGAAAGTAAGAAACCTACCCCTGTGTTCTCTCAGATCTCCAACCATTCAGAGGTACCCAACAGGAAAAATAGTGGATCACACAAATCAGGTTGTGAAGTGAGAATTCCAGTTGTGTCCAGTTCATCAAACAGAGTAAGTGCATTTTTTCAAGACATAGTAGAAATGAAGTTATTTTCATTCAGAAAGGATTCCTGTATACTTACCTTCCATATATAAAATGTATAAAACTGATTGGAGAGTTGGCTCAGTGGTTAAAAGCACTGACTGCTCTTCCAGAGGTCTAGAATTTAATTCCCATCAACCACATGGTGGCTCACAGCTATCTACAATGGGAGCTTGATTTCCCTGTCTCCTAAGTGAGTATTATATAAAATAATCCCATGTTCAGAAATTTTTTTTTCTTTTTTAAAAATTATAATTGCTGTTTTATTTTAAATGCTACCATAGTGTGTTATACATAGTATTTAAAGATAATCATTTATTTAAAAAAAATATTTTCCCTAGGCAGTGGTGGCATATGCTTCCAGTTTGGGAGGCAGAGGCAGGGAGGATCTCTGAGTTCAAGGTCAGCCTGGTCTACAGAGTGAGTTCTAGGACAGCCAGAGCTACACAGAGAAACCCTGTCTCTCACTCCCCCCCCCCAAATATATTCTCATAGAGGTCTTTACAGTTGAATGATACAGTTGCAAATTATAAAAAATATAACTAGTAATTATCTGTCCTATTGTATTCCTGCCTTCTGCTCTGGAAAACAACAACAATAATAACAACAACAAATCAGCATGCCTTTGACAAGGATTCTGGGGAGGCGAAAGGTGAGAGAAGACTAGGCAAAGTCATTCCTGTTCTACAAACCAGAACCAGGTAAAGTAATATAGAACCATTCTGGTCTCTGATGATTTTCTTTTCATTTCTTTCTTTTCTTTACCAGGGTCTTCTTTACTATGTTTAGGGGGTAGGGTATGAAATTCTGTAGGAGGACCAGGCAAACATGAAATTCTGAGTCTACCTGTTTGTGTTATCTCAAGCAAATCATTCTCTCACTTCAGTTTCTGTGTCACTAAAATGAAGCTAACAGTGCCTTCTCTGCAGCTTCGCAAGGTTATTTTGAAAGACATACTAGTAAAACACTGTATAAACACAACATTTCCATGTATGAGGAGCCCTGATCACATATTTGATAGGAAGTAAGAATGTTAACAAAAAAAGGTTAAAACTATTTAGATGATTACTTAGTTTTTTCTCTTCTTGTATTACTGGGCACAAATACTAGGCTAGGCTTGCAGTTTGAGGCATCTTTTTAGTTTACTTTCTTGTTGCCAAGAGATGGCAGCATCTATACATGGGCACTTTCAGTAGTGTGTACTAGAAAAGCTACTTTACAGGTTGAGTCAGATTGATTTAATTACAATAAACTTGAAAAAAGACTTTTACTATACACCTATGGTGTATTTATTCTTATTTAAACATTTAAAAAAAATGACAAATCAGGTTATTTGCCACAAAATTTCAGTTTTGTGGGTTCTGTTTTATTTATTTTTCTACATAATTGAGGGAAGCTTCATCAATTCTTTTTTCCTTTTATTTGAGATTTTTTGTTTTACATGTATAGATGTTTTACCTATATTTATATTTGTGTACCATGTGTCCACAGAAGCCAGAAGAGGGTGTCAGATCCTCTGGGACTGGAGTTGCAGTTGTGAGCTGCTATGTGGGTAATGGGAGTTGGACCCCAGGTTCTCTAGAAGAACAACCAGCACTATTAACTGCTGATCCATCTCTCCAGCCCCACTTTGTGAATTCCTTAGAGTGAAATTATACCAAAACCCATAAATCAGGCTGCTTGGAACACTAATAAATTACAATGTCAGTGTTCATCCACTGACTCTTCCTATACAGTACTATCATTATGAGCAAGGACTAAGAAACTGCTCTTGCGAAGGTCATGCATGGTTGCCCTAAATTGCTAGATTAAGTTGGAAGGGTTTTTTCCCTAGTCTTAATCTTACTCACCTTTTGCTGTGTGGCTCAGTCAAATTTGCTAAACTTGAATTACTCAACAAATTTTTTCTCTCTCTAGGAACTACTTCATTTTTGCCTTCTACTATCCTTTGATAGCAGAGGTTTTATTTCTTCCTTTACTTCTAAACTCTATACTTGATTTCAGTTTTGCACTATAACTAACACTATAACTAACATTGTCTTTTCTCTCTCTGGATTTTAAAAGAGAATTTGCCTCTGAAAGTTGGATGTTTTACCTGTTATCAACATGTGATTTTTCTATAAAGCACTATAGTCGTGTTTCTAATGGATGTTTTTCTTCCTGGTTTGCTTTATTCAAGGATGTTTTCACAATCAGATCTAGAAAAACAGAAGGACATTTATCTCAGCAAAGTCATTGCTCATATAGAAGACCCAGGGGACTCTAACCAAGGTAACATGGTAACCAAAGAATGGCATATAAAACATGGATTGAGGCATTTTTTTTCATGGTAATGAGCTTAAACTGGGATATTGTTTTGAATTTTCTTAAACTGATGAAGAAAACTTCCTTATCCAAAGATTTACTTCAAAGGGTTCTTTAAACAGATAATTATGCAAAGTGGTTTGGACAACAAACTTTAGAGAAGGAGTTCAGGCCAGTGACTCTCTCCCCTGTAGTTGAAGGCTATGAACTGGGGGATGCTGCTGCTGCTGTTGTTGTTGTTGTGACCGTTAAGTAGTAGAAGTGGATGAAGTGAAGTTCCTTACTAATCACTATTTTGGGTCTTTTAAAATGTGGAGCTTTTTCCCCTATGGCCTTTTGCTTTTAAATGTAAAAAGCAAGCATTTCAGACTTTTATCTTGCATCTTGGCTTCTCAGTACAAGCTCTTGAAAGTCTGAACTATGTTCTAGATCCTTCAAACTTATCTCCTTGTAGTTCATTAGAAGCTATTGCAAGCCAAAGTGGAGATTATATTGTTTTATTCAATTTGAACCAGTGGCTGATGGGAAATTTCTAAAAAGAAAGGAGCAGAATTGAAGACAATAGAATGTTGGAAGGTTTTATACTGATAGAAGGTTTTCTTCCATAAAGGTCATGCTGTATTCTGTTTTGTTTAGCTTCTTTCCTTATTCAACAAACTTTGTAGAGTACTTTTAGAAGTGTTAAGTTTGAAAATTAGGAACTGAAGACATAAGTAATGGGTCTTTGTCTGTGGTGAGAATTCATGGTCTTGAGAAAATCGTTATACTAAAATATTGATTAGTTTTCTAAAGAAACACTTAGATTAATGTAGAAACCAGTAAAGAACTCTTCAGTGTGTGTTTGAGAAGAATGGAGATGTTGAGAAAGATGTCCTGGAAGGTCCATAGAACTCAGGGCTGTTTTAAGGAAGGGCATAGGAAAGTTGTTCTGCAATGAAGACTCCTTTCTCTTGAGAATTCCTGGGTTAGTAGTTTCTGTTTTTAAAGGTTTAGAGTGCTAATAGCAATCAGAAATTTCTAAAAATAAGTTGCTTTAGTTTTTGCTCAAGATCTTATTAAACAATCAGGTATCACTGGTGTTCATTTCTTAGCCCCTTGCCTGTGAGGTCTGTTTGTTTGGACTATTAGGTTAGGTCTGGTGGAAGTAAAGACATTTTCCCACCCATATCATTGGAGGGCGGACTTTAAAGAGATGTGTTGATTGTTCATCTTCAAGCTTATTATTATTATTATTATTTTTTTTTTTTTTAAAAAAGCCTGGATGTTTTGTTTCTCCCTCTGAGGTGGCTTCTTTTATATCCTAGGAAATGGTGCTGGCATCTAGTTATATTTTTCTTTTTCATTTGAGGTGTTCAAAGAAAATTTCTCATACAAAGCAAGTCACAGTTGTTCACCTTTTTGCATCTTTTCCATTTGTCTCCTTTCTTATTCAGCAGTTCCTCTCTCAAAATTACTACAATTTATATTTTATTTTCAAGGAATAGCTAGAAATACAGTAGGAAAGCAATAGACTTTAGTCATTGAAAAAATTAAAGTTTAGACTTAACTTCTAGGTTTATTTTTATGTATTTTTTGTTACATTTTCTTTGTGCACATGTATGCACGTGTGTAGGCATGTGCAGCCACAGTGTGTGTGTGGAGGACAAGCTGTAGTAGTCAGTTTTCGCCTTCCACCATGTGGGTCCCAAATATTGAACTCAGGTCATTAAGCGTGCAAGTACTTTTACATCTGAGCCATCCCACTGGCACAACTTCTGGGCTATACCCACCACCATTGGTGACGAGGTGGGGCCTTGAGCCACTGGAGACTCGTTTGCAAAGTAAGAGTAATGAGGTTTAGTTTGTCTGAAACATAATTATATATTCAAATATACATATAATGTAAGGACAGTTTTTAGCTCAAGCTAATACAATTTTAGCTAATAGAATTTATTAAATACCAGTATTGACAAGAAAGTTTGGGGCTGGGGTGATGGTTTAGTGGTTAAGAACACTTACTGCTTTTATAGAGGCTGGGTTTCCCAGAGCCCACATGACTATTTACAAACTGTAATTTGTGGAAAAACAAAACAAAAAGCCCAGAAATTCCACTTCCAGGAAATCTGATATCCTCTTCTGGCCACTGCTGGGACTAGACTTGCATTTAGTACACATACATATGTTCAGTGAACACTCAAAAAGTAAAACAAAACAAAAAAATCTCTAAGAGAGAAAGTTCACTCTTTTCATAGTGAAGTATTTTTGTTAAGTTTTTTAGAGATGGTCTTCTTTGTAGTCCTAGCTGTTCTGGAACTGCTATGTAACCAGGCTGCTCTCAATCTTAGAAATCTTCCTGCTTCTGTCTCCCAAGTGCTGGGATTAAAGGCGTGTGCCACCATGCCTGGCTCATTATAGAGTTTTTTAGGTAAAATAGTGTGATATGTTTTAAGCCTCAACAAATGACATAAAACAAAAATCTTATAAAATAAAATGAAACAGCTTTGACAAAAATGTTGATAAATGAAACTGAATGATGAATATATAGGCATATGTTATGGTTTTGTTTGGCTTTTGCATACATTGGAAACATTCTATAATGAGAGTATTAAAAATTAACTTATAGGAAATTCTTTTTGACATCTATTAATATTTTCCTGTCTAGTTATTCTAAAGATTTCTTGTATCTCTGACATTTTTGTCTTTCAGTAATCTAGTATTGTTTATTGTTATTGCTTTTAAGTTATATTTATTATTATTGTGTAGATGTATATACCGTGGCGTGCATGTGTCTGGCATGTGTCTGAAAGCTTTGTGGAGTTAATTCTTTTTTTTTTTTTTTTTTTTTAAAGATTTATTTATTATATATGAATACACTGTAGCTGTCTTCAGACACACCAGAAGAGGGCATCAGATCTCATTACAGATGGTTGTGAGCCACCATGTGGTTGCTGGGATTTGAACTCAGGACCTCTGGAAGTGCAGTCAATGCTCTTAACCACTGAGCCATCTCTCCAGCCCCTGTGGAGTTAATTATTTCCTTCCACCTTTATGTAGGTTCCAGGGTTTGAATATAAATAAACACACACACACACACATACACACACATACACATGTGATATATGTTATATATACATGTAAATACATAAATTGTTATATAAATAATGATTAAGTGCTTCTACTCGTTGAGCCATTTCGTCAGTTCCTTATACCTCCCTCCCTCTTTCCCTCTGTGTGCATGTGTTTATAGGCCTGGAATTAATAATCCAATGTCTGCACTTTACTTTTCCAGGCTCTCACACTGAACATGAAGCTGACCACCATTTTAGCTAGACTGGCTGGCTAGCTAGCAAAGCCTTAGGATCCACTTACTGCTTTCTCACTACTACTGGACTTACAGACATTTACTGTTCTGTCCAGTTTGTTTACATCAGTGTTACAAATCCACATTCAGGTCTTTATGCTTGTGCAGCAGGCACTTTACCCAGTGAACCATCTTCCTAGCCCAGTACTAAGTTTTTTGTGTCACTTTCCCTCTACAGTAGTACATATGCACAATCTTAAGATTTTGGGAGATTCTTTGAGATAGAGTTTCATTATATAAGGCTGGCCTTTTACCACTATGAAGCCGAGGCAGAGCCTGACCTTTTTTTTTTTTTTTTTTAAGACAGTAGTCTCACTGGCTATCTCTGGCTGGCCTGGAATTTAGTGTGTAGAACACGCTGGCCTTGAACTCACAAGATACTCCTGCTTTTGCCTCCTAAGTGAGAGGATGAAGGAATTTCTTAACTACCTGTCTTTACCTTCTGAGTGCTGGAATTACAGGTATACATATACCATACCAAGTTTATAAGTGCTAGGAATAGAGTTCAGTGCTTCCTTTGTGTTCACCAAGTTCTTCCAACTGAGCTACACCCCCAGTGTCTTAGCTACATTTTATTGCTATGAAAAGACACCATGATCAAGGAAACTTTTATAAAAGAAAACATTTAAGAGGGGGTTGCTTATAGTTTCAGAGGGTTAGTCCGTAATCATCATGTTGTGAAGTAGATAGGCATGGCACTAGAGCAATAGCTGAGAGCTTTACATCCTTATCCACAGACAACAGAGAGAGAGAGAGGCAGAGAGAAAGGAACAGAGACACCAGGCGGGGGTGGGGAGCACAGTACTTTTGAAAACTCAAAGCACATTCTCAGTGTCATACCTTCTCCAACAAGGCCACACCTCCCAACAAATTCCCAAACAATTGCACTAACTGGAGATCAAGCATTTGAACTATGGGGTCATTCTAATTCAAACTACCATACCCAGCTACTCAAGTTTTGAGATTTTTTTTGTATTCCATATGCCAAATGAGGGAAGTATGTAGTCTTCATCTTTCGTTTGCTTGTTTGCTTGTTTCTTTTTTAAAAAATAGTTTTATCTTTATGTGCACTGGTGCTTTGCCTACCTGTATGTCTATGTGAGGGTGTCAGTTTCTGGAGTTATAGACAGTGAGTTGCCTTGTGAGTGCTGGGTTTTGAACTTGGGTCCTCTAGAAGAACAGTCAGTGCTCTTAACTGCTGAGCCATCTCTCCAGCCCCTTACTTTTTCTTTTTCGAGATAGGTTTCATAGTGCTTCCTAGACTAGCCTTAAACTCACAGCAATCCTCTCAATTTCTTAATCCACTCTACCACCTAGAAATATCAAAATTAACATTTTGATACAGTGTGTCCTATAAAGTAGAGCCTATAAAAGGAGTTTGTTAGTTTGTAAATTGCTTCACTCCTCCCCCCAGATGGTTTCAGTGTGTAGCCCTGGCTGTCCTGAAACTCAGAGGTCTGCCTTTCTCTGCCTCCCAAGTGTTGGGATTAAAGATGTGCACCACCATCACTTAGCTATACATTAAGATTTTTAGTCAAGAGCCAGCTAGATAGCTCAGCAAGTATGAGTGCTTGCTGCTTTAGCCTGGTTAAGTCAAGTCCTCAGAACCAAATCAAAATGGAAGAAG